TTCTGGAAATAAAAATTATTTTATAATTTTTCTTAAATAATGAGAGAGAAGTAATTATAACCTAATTAATTACCTTAAATATATAAAATAACATTAGCTAATTTTTGATATATTTAAAGTGATCTTTTAAGGGACTAATAATAATATTTCTAATAAATTATATCAATTAATGTTCATATTTTTATAAATGAAATAATTACAGATATTTCAGATTATGGTTTAAACAAAGTTATTAGGGTATCAATAAAAATATATGTAATAATCATGATCTAATTAATCAATACATTTATAAAAAACAAAATTAAATAATAAATATTTTTATGAAACATATTTATGCTGAGTTTAACTTTATAATATATTAATTATTAAAGTTCAGGTTTGTTATATTTATAACCTTTCTCTGATTGTCAATAGATACTTATCTATTTTATTATTTTAAATAAATCAATTTTTTTATGAATTTAACTAAAAATATTTTACGATAGCTTATAATTCTTTTTTTAGTGAATTCTCCAATTAAATTTTGTTATCATTATCTAAACTTTAAAATTATAAGTTATAATTTCAGCAAATAAAATTTTAATCAATTAAAAAGTTTTAAATAATTAATTAATAGTTTTAAGATCAAAACTAAGAATTTTAATTATTTTCATAACTGAAAAAATATTGAAAATTATTTTGTGTTTTTATAAAAATAATTATTTTTAAATAAAAGGGTAATTATGCTTTAAGCGCACAGAATTCCATTCACAAATTTTTGCACTCATGACCATTAATATTAATTATATCGACCCATATTTTATGGTGATGAATATGAAGATAAACAATAGATAAAATTAAATATTATTTTTATTAATTTTGAAGTAGTTTTCTGGAAATAAAAGCTATTTTATAATTTTTAATTAAATAATGAGAGAGAAGTAATTATAACCATAAATAATTAAATTGCCTTAAATATATAAAATAATATTAGCTATTATTTGATATATTTAAACCGATATTGTAAGTGACTGATAATAATATTTCTAATAAATTATATCAATTACAAACATCAGCTCATATTTATATAAATAAAATATTCTCAGATATTTCAGATTAGGATTTAAACAAAGTTATTAGGGTATCAATCAAACTATAAGTAATAATCATGATCTAATTAATCAATACATTTATAAAAAACAAAATAAAAAATAAAAATTTTAATGAAACATATTTATTTATGCAGAGTTTAACTTTTTAATATATAAATTATTAAAGTTCAGGTTTGTTATATTTAACTTTTCGCTGATTGTCAATTGATAGTTATCTATTTTATTAGTTTAAATAAATCAATTTTTTATGAATTTAACTAATTATATTTTACCTTAGCTTATAATTATTTTTCTAGAGAATTCTTTAATTAAATTTTAGCATCATCATCGTTTAAACTTTAAAATTAAAAGTTATAATTTTAGCAAATAAAATTTTAATCAATCAAAAATTTTTAAAGAAATAAATAATTAATTTATAATTTTAAGATTATAACAAAGAATTTTTAATTATTTCTGAAAAATTATTTAAAATTATTTTGTGTTTTTATAAATATAATTTTATTTTAAATAAATCTAGTAAAGATAAAAAAAGGTAATTATGCTTAAGTTTTTTTTGTATTTTAGTTGTGTTGTGATGAGTAAGTAAAAAAATTTGTTATATTTTATTTGGTTAGTAAATAAATAAATAAGCAAGTTAGTAAATGACAAGTTGGCTTAATTAGCTAATAACTAAGTCAAAAGCTTAAAATAATCAATATTTAGTTTATCAATCAATCAATTAAATTTTTACTTTAAATCGAGCGTCAAAGTTGTGATATTCTTGCACTAGGCTATTCCTGTGCCTAAATCTTTTGCACCCCCATCACCAATATTGTTCCAACTTGAAATATAAGAATAAATAACGAATTAAATAAATATGGAGGAGAAAGGATGGTAAAAAACTATGGCTTTCGTTAGTATTTTAGTTGTGTTGTGATGAGTAAGTAAAGAAATTCGTTATATTTTATTTGGTTAGTAAATAAATAAATAAGCAAGTTAGTAAATGACAAGCTGGCTTAATTAGCTAATAACTAAGTCAAAAGCTTAAAATAATCAATATTTAGTTTATCAAACAATCAATTAAATTTTTACCTTAAGTTAAGTGTCAAAGTTGTGATATTCTTGCACTAGGCTATTCCTGTGCCTAAATCTTTTGCACCCTCTGCACCAATATTATTGTATCTTGAAATATAAGAATAAATAACGAATTAAATAAATATGGAGGAGAAAGGATGGTAAAAAACTATGGCTTTCGTTAGTATTTTAGTTGTGTTGTGATGAGTAAGTAAAGAAATTCGTTATATTTTATTTGGTTAGTAAATAAATAAATAAGCAAGTTAGTAAATGACAAGCTGGCTTAATTAGCTAATAACTAAGTCAAAAGCTTAAAATAATCAATATTTAGTTTATCAAACAATCAATTAAATTTTTACCTTAAGTTAAGTGTCAAAGTTGTGATATTCTTGCACTAGGCTATTCCTGTGCCTAAATCTTTTGCACCCCCATCACCAATATTGTTCCAACTTGAAATATAAGAATAAATAACGAATTAAATAAATATGGAGGAGAAAGGATGGTAAAAAACTATGGCTTTCGTTAGTATTTTAGTTGTGTTGTGATGAGTAAGTAAAGAAATTCGTTATATTTTATTTGGTTAGTAAATAAATAAATAAGCAAGTTAGTAAATGACAAGCTGGCTTAATTAGCTAATAACTAAGTCAAAAGCTTAAAATAATCAATATTTAGTTTATCAATCAATCAATTAAATTTTTACATTAAGTTAAGTGTCAAAGTTGTGATATTCTTGCACTAGGCTATTCCTG